CTGGAGTTCAACTCTGTCCTGCTGGTCTGCGACTGGCCCGAGAATGCCGGCTGCGGTAAAAAGCCAGCGCCCTCGCCTGTGCCGACGACTCCGAAGCCCACTCCGAAGCCTGATGGCATCTGCCCGAATGAGACGTGCGCCTGCAGGTTCGTATAGCTTGTGGACATATAAAAATTAAAGGCTTCCTCTGCGGTGTGTAATCAAAGTCGATATTACTAGCAATTAGCAAATAACTATGGAACAGAAGCATCGCAGTAGCAAATCTATTTTAACACCGATAAACAGTAGCAATAATGTCTGATGATTGTATGCATTGTTGCAGGGTTCCGGACCCCAAGGACTGCAACAAGTACTACCAGTGCAAGGACGGCAAGGCCTACCCCGAGTCCTGCCCTGCCGGCCTGGTCTTCAACCCCGAGACGGAGATGTGCGACTATCCTGAGGATGTTCCCGGCTGCCAGAACCCGACAACGCTGAAACCCACCACCAAACCGACCACGAGGCCGACGCCGAAACCGACAACCAGGCCCACGACGCCTAAACCCACAACCAAGCCGACGACTAAGCCAACAACTAGGCCCACGACCAAGCCCACAACGAAACCTACCCCGAAGCCAACAACCAGGCCCACACCCAAACCCACAACGAAGCCCACCCCAAAGCCAACCACGAAACCTACGCCCAAGCCGACACCCAAGCCCAAGCCTCCCAAGCCGGACTCATCGAGCAGTGAAGAGTCGGAGAGCAGCGAGAGTGGATCCAAATCCAAGCACAGCGGGTCCAAATCTAAGCACAGCGGATCCAAGTCCAAGCACAGCGGCTCGAAGTCCAAACACAGCGGCTCGAAATCAAAGCACCACGACTCCAAGTCGAAGCACCACGACTCCAAGTCGAAGCACAGTGGTTCCAAGTCAAAGCACCACAAGCACTCGTCCGAGCTGATGAAGTCGTCGGCGCCGGCGAACTCTCGCCTGTACCGCAACCCGGACCAGGGCCGGATCGAGGACGACGACGGATTCCTGGGTGGGTGAAACATGCTTGATGTTTGTGAAACAGTGCGTAGATGCGAGCCGAGCAGGCTGCTGAGCTGTTTTGATAGCTGTTGTTTCACAATTGTGTGCAAGTTGAATGATACGTAATACGTATAAAATAATTTTCACAAGTTGTGTCCTACTTTGAGCGTTTATCCATTTTCTTTTAAGCTCCGTAATCGACGTAATGCCTCACTTACTAATTACCTACATGAAACGTTCATTATCAATCGCTGCCCTTGACCGTGTCTCTGACCTCCAACAGAGGCGCAGTTCTGCCCGCGACCGACGGGCAAGTTCCCGTCCAGCCGGTGCCACTACTACTACCACTGCGTCGACGGCGTGCCCACGCTGAAGCGCTGTCTCCACGGCACGCGCTTCTACGCGCCCGACCAGCGCTGCATCCTGGGATCCTGCTGAGAGGTGCCACCGGCCGGCTCCACCGCCATCAGGACGAGCGTGTTTGTTGGGGTGTTGAATGGGGACATCCCATAGCAGAAACGATGTGGACTTCTCATTGTTAGCGTGTCTACCTTCCTGTGACTTCTGTATGACCTGAATACAAATGTTGTGCATGAATAAAGTTTCTTACTCATACTTTCTGCACATGTTTTTCAAAGCACGGGGAGCCAGAGGCAACTCAGGAGGTTTCCAGGATACGATCAGACGACTATACTCGTTGGCAATGATTCGGCCCACATTGGCAGCCAATGAAGGACAGCTGCAGCAAAATATAAAACTGCTGACGGTTAATTATTTCCTCCATTCGAAACGTGTAGGCAATCGATGGACATGGGTCACGCTCTTTATAGATTCCGTGCTAGATAATATTTTAGTACGAGTTAACACATTTTTTTCTTTTCCGCTCACTTTTCAGACCTTTTTTATCATTAAATTTATAGGAAAAAGAAATAATTCGTACACATTGCCAGCGAAGCGCGCCACACTCAGCATTAGGCATGAAAATATTGAATCCATTACTTTCACCAAATAAACGGACGTTGACCTACAGCCATGCATTTTCGGTATTTGGTATAGCCGATAGACTTACCTTTGACTTACTGGGATCACTTTCACTCTTGCTCTTGTGCATATATTATGCTTACCTACTTTGCAGAAATTTTGCTAATCAGGCAACCTTTTTAATGAATTTTAAAGATTGACAAAGACAAGTGGCCTATACCATGGTGTACCGAGCCGCACAGGCAAAAACCATTCAAGTTCGAACTAAAATGACGTAAACTTACCTGATAATATTTTTCTTCAAACGCTACATACACGACACAAATAAATTCATGATATACCTACCAAAAATTATTTGATGTAAAAGAGATTTGGTTACATTTGTAAAGTGACATGAATTCGCCTGACAACTCGTCATAAAACGGCTAATAATTCCTATTGACTTCTCAAACACGCTCAGTGGAGGGATTCAGAGAACTATACGCCAAGTGGAAGGGAGGGGGGGGGGGGTGACAAATGTCGCTCCCCCGATATCAGCTCCTACGGAAGCTCAAAAGACGAAAATTGGAGGGTTGGTGGGGGCGGTGGGGAACACTAACTAACTAGTGTGTGTTCATTTCATGATACTAGGTCAACATCTTCAAAGTTAAATGAGGTCAAATAGCGTCAACTTTGTCAAATGAGGATCTATTTTAGTTCACACATCCTTACCTCAAAAAGTCACCGGCCAATTTTCGTATTTCTTTTATTATGCGGCGGCACATACACTTCTGAGATACCTATATTGAGAATCTCTAGTTAATCCAGCCATAAAATGCCAATAATAACGAGGCGGGCAACAGCCGACGCGGAAAGCGTGCTATTCCACACTCGTAGCTCAAAATGTTACCGACTGATTTTCGTATTTATTTCAACATAAGGTTTCCAGTACATTTCTGACTCTTCACAGAGATTTTGACGCGAATCGATCATAAGCAGCGGTAAGCAGCGCTATGCAAAGACGGAACCATCCGGCGCTGGCCGCCGCGCAAAGAAGAGTTATTCATTTTCTCCCTTTCAGGCTCTGGCAGTGGCGAGAGCCCGCCTTGCTCTTGGTGTCGCAGCTGGTGACGACGGTCCGAGGAACGGGCGGCACCGGAACTCGAATCCGGGTCCTCCCGAATTCCGAGACCACTTCGTATCAACTGCGCTACGAAAGCCACAGCCCACAGGTGGCTGGTGATTGGGTAAAGTTCAATACGAATTGCGCAATCAATTTGCATTGTGCACTGCTAGCTTTGCACATGTGAGTGGCACAATGGTTTCTGTAATATGGGCTTGAGTTGGAACGGGGAACGGGGAACCCTCTATTGAGTAATGTTGAAGAAGTTATCTTGTCCATCCTGTCACTTTTCTCGTTGCTTCGTCATAGCCTTCTGCAACACAAAATCATGCGACTAATGTTATGTGTACATGTGTGTTGAACTGTGTTGAACTGAACGACTAATGTGCGTTGAACTGTTAGTGCGCTGTCATTTCCTCTGTTCCGCTCTCATCTTTTGCAGAGTCTCAGTAATTTGCATTACTCCGCGCCGTGCTGGTCACGGCCTGAGTTTTCGGTGACGTGCTGGGGGGGGGCATTTGCATCCCCCCCCCACATCTAACTCGGCTCCTGGGCCACGTAGCGACACGCGGTAAGCGGCAATCGAAAGAGCGTCAAAAATAATGACAGGAACACAGAGGTCATCAAAGGTCGAATTAAGTCCATTTCAACAGTTTTGGAAACTGCCAACGGCTAACTTGGGAACCAATAGAGCTACAGAGCCGCAAAAAAGCGCATTCGATAGCCCTTTTACGGATCTTTTTGAATATTGTTCTCCGATTTGACCTGAGGTCAACGGTTAAGTCTTCAGAGGGCAGAACTCTATACAAAATGGCCGTTTTCACGCCGAAACATGTTTTTCAGTAAAAACCTTTGACTCAAGAGAGCCACTATATTAGGATCGTATTCCTCTCGTCAAGACGCGTCGAATAAATTATGCGTTGACCTTGAAGGACATTTGGAAAACTTGACCTCAGGTCAAGAGCATGACCTGACCGGAAAGGGTCATATTGCATCAGTCGATCCGTATCGTCGAGCTGAACACATCTGACGTGTTTTCACCGCTCTAGCACGTCTCTATCAAACGTTATCGAAAAAAACTGCTGGTGATCTTTCATGAACTGAGGTGACCTTAGCAGCACACAGAAGGGTCACAGGTGCATTTTTCCGATTCAGTGTGTCATGTTTATCTATGAACCGATGTTTGAGAGGGTTTAAAAACGGCATTCGTCTACTCGTAAAAGAGGCGCATTTCAATCTCTCCCATTGACATGATGGAGAGGTCGCAAAATTGACCTGACCTTAGGTAACAGATAATAAAATCCGAGATATACATTTTATGCATACTGTAACTCTTGTCAATCGCTGAAAGTTTGAAAGTAATCGTCCAGTCGGTGTAGCTACAGCGAGCCTTTGAACTTTTCTGAGGTTAGGTCACTTGACGTGGCCCGACTTTAAACGACCGGGGTCTAAATTTTCATCATGTGTGCAAAACTGTATAAACAGGTCTACCAAAAATGGCGGCGCTGCACGCCGCCGTTTTGGAGATATTTATGAAAAACTTGAAAGAGGGCGTCTCTTCTCTTCCCCCCAGCACGGTGCGGGTAAAACAAAAATGTGGGAAGATTATAGTTTGATTTTTTTAAGCCTGTCCTATCGTTTAAAGCGCTCTAATGAAAATCCCTCGTGAAAGCTCCATACCTTTAACGCTGTTTAGCTGAAAATGTCTGGAAAATGTCATTTTTATTTTTCTCTCGACCCCCTACTCATGGCAACAGCTAAACTCGTGCCTTACTTGTTTGTGCACATAAAGCGATCAGACAGGCTTCAAAATCGGACTATACCTACCCTCCATCGTGCGAGAGAGGGCCATTCGAAACGTTCCCGTCAAACTAATCGTAACTGCCTATTGATAAACTATCCAACATGCGCATCGCTAATATATTCAACAACAAATGGATCAGCAAAGCAGTTCATCAACAAAGACACAACTTACACTGCAGAATGGTGAAAGAAATGAAAGGCGAGGTGAAAGGCTGTAACATCCATCTCGGAAAATACATAGCAAAGTAGCGGGGATCAGTCTTAGAGGGGTCAAAACTGTAGTAAGTTTGATATTCTGGCATTTACACCGAACGGCAGGGCAGCGACTCCGCTCGAGCTCAGCAGGATCCCAGGATGCAGCGCTGGTCGGGCGCGTAGAAGCGCGTGCCGTGGAGACAGCGCTTCAGCGTGGGCACGCCGTCGACGCAGTGGTAGTAGTAGTGGCACCGGCTGGACGGGAACTTGCCCGTCGGTCGCGGGCAGAACTGCGCCTCTGTTGGAGGTCAGAACGGTCATGTCAGAAATGTGTTGACAAACAACGACACGGTTTGCGTTGAGTTTCGATGTAGAGTCTGAGAGGGGCAGCGGTGACGCATATAGGGGAAGGTGGGGTAAGACGGCCCAGCGGGGCAAGACGGACCACCAGCCCTCCCGGCTGAACCGCTGCTGGTATCTACTGCTTTATGCACTCACTACGTTTCTTTTCCTTCGTAACAATGGCCACCTTGAGCTCATGCTGCTAGGATGCATAGCTTTTGAGTTATTGAGAAAAATGTTGTTTTTCGTCAAACCGATCTAATATAAGAGGTCTACGGGTGATTCAATTACGGCACCTTTCTTGCATGATTAGTTTCTATTTTGCACTTTACTGTGAAGAACAAAGTTATAAACTTAGTTATAGTCACACTTTAGGAAAGGCAAGGTTTTGCAATGTTGGGCTATTTGACATATACGTCATGATAATGACAGAATTTAGATTTGGGGCAAGACGGACCACTGTGGTCCATCTTACCCTGTGGTGGTCCATTGTACCCTGCATATGGAAAGTTCTTTTCCAAAACATTGACACAAGTTTAAGTAAGCTAATTTTTCAGGAAGGAGTCTTTGTTGCATGTGAGCCATGCATGAAAGTGCTCAGTTAGCATGCATTCATGCCAAACGACAATCAACACACATGTTCCCAGCTTTTAGCTGCACTTCCATCACACATGAGTAAAGAATAAAGGGTCATTTTGTTATTTTACCATTCTGGTTACTTTTTCTTACAAGAGTACAGAGCAGAAGTGTAACACACATGAACGGATAGCAGGCACTGCTGGGTGGTCCGTCTTACCCCACGTTTTTTCTTGTCTGAGTTTTTGACATGTCCCTCTTTAAGAGCATCCACCACCTAGATGTCTTTAATTTGAAATTTAGTCTTTACACATATCAACAGAGGAAGGATTGAGCATTCCGAAGACTATAAATAATATGAATTACGAGAGCAGTGTAGCAAGATATGCGGCCTCAAACCTTAGCTGGTCCGTCTTACCCCACCTTCCCCTACCAGTTCATCTAAAAAAACATTTAATATCATTTTATACCCAAGGTTATCGAATATGCCAAATATCGGCAGCTTTTGTCCTGAAGATACAAAAAAAAAACTTGCGAGACTTGTCCTTCTAATCCTATTAGACCAAGTAGCGCCCACTCACCCAGGAATCCGTCGTCGTCCTCGATCCGGCCCTGGTCCGGGTTGCGGTACAGGCGAGAGTTCGCCGGCGCCGACGACTGCACCGGTTCGGCCGAGCGCTTGGGGTGCTGCGACTTGGAACCACTGTGCTTCGACTTGGAGTCGTGGTGCTTCGACTTGGAGTCGTGGTGCTTCGATTTCGAGCCGCTGTGCTTCGACTTCGAGCCGCTGTGCTTCGACTTCGACCCACTATGCTTGGACTTGGACCCACTATGCTTGGACTTGGACCCGCTCTTCTTGGATTTGGATCCGCTGTGCTTGGATTTGGATCCACTGTGCTTGGACTTGGATCCACTGTGCTTCGACTTGGATCCGCTCTCGTCGCTGTCACTGTCGCTGCTGTCGGATCCACTGCCGGACTCTTCGCTGCTCTCTGAATCGGGCTTAGGGGGCTTGGTCGGCTTGGGGGTGGGTTTTGTGGTGGGCTTGGGGGTCGTGGGTTTCGGAGTGGTGGGCTTCGGAGTGGTGGGGCTTGGGGCGGTGGGTCTGCAAGCTGGCACATTTTCAGCGAAGTCGCACACCTCGGTTGCGGGGTTGAAGACCAGGCCGGCAGGGCAGGAGTCGGGGAAGGCCTTGCCGTCCTTGCACTGATAGAACTTGTTACAGTCAGTGGAGTCCGGAACCCTGCAAGAAACAAAGATAATGTCTCAGCCCCTAGGCACAATTAAAACGGGTGACAATACTGTCTTATGAAAAAGTGTTTCATGCAGGAAATAATGCAGACAGACAATTACCTTGAACTAGGTACAATCTTCGTGAGGTACGTATACTCGTATTGTTTACGGTAAAAGGCCTCGAGAAATGTTGGCCAAATACCTACGGCCGCTATCCTTCCTTTGGTCCTCAACCTAGCAAATAAAAAATCCTTATCTACTGTCTCGTCCTTCCTAATTGTAACTAATCACTTATCTCACCTGCAGGCGCACGTGTCGTTCGGGCAGATGACATCAGGGTTCGGCGTGGGCTTCGGCGTGGGACTGGACGTCGGCTTCGGAGAAGGCGTGGGTTTTCCACCGCAGCCGGCATCCTCAGGCCAGTCGCAGACCAACAGTGTGGGATTGAACTCCAGGTTGGCGGGACAGTCCTTCAGATAGGCGTGTCCGTTGGAGCAGTGGTAGAAGGTGTGGCAGTCGGCGGGGTTGGGGAAGAGTCCGTTGTCGGTCGGACAGTCGGAGTCAGACGGAGATGGCTGTGTCGGCGCGGGAGCCGGTGGCTTCGTGGTGGGTCTCCGAGTCGTCGGTCGCGGGGTGGTGGGCTTGCAGCCCGGCACGTTTTCAGCCAAGTCGCACACCTCGGTGGCGGGGTTGAAGACCAGGCCGGCAGGGCAGGAGTCGGGGTAGGCCTTGCCGTCCTTGCACTGGTAGTACTTGTTGCAGTCGGAGGAGTCCGGAACCCTGGGGGCAGACACCTTACACTGCTTTAAACTTGTAGCATTGTGGAGCAGGATGATTGCGGTTCATGAAATTCAGATCTTACCTCATTCGCAAATTGTGCCTTGAGTAAGCGGACACGGGCTTTTTATCTCCTTTTTTTGCACATTTTGGGTATTCGGTGGGCAAGACTTGAGAAATGCTAATTCAATATGAACAATGTATAAACGCAACAAGTTTCCACTTCTTACCAGACTGGTGAGCAAGACCCAGCGACTTTCAGTCTCCATCCATGAGCCAGCCCCCCGGTGTTCTTGCTCATCTTTAACTTTAAGAGCTGCTCTTGGTCGGGGAATGCTGATGCGGGACCTGCACACCGCACAAGTGCTGACAATTGTCTTTCATGATATGAAATATGAAGTTCGCTTCTAAATTAACAGTAGGTATTTAGAAGGGTATCTTACCGGGCCAAAATGCCCCCCCCCCCCCATCAGGGCGCGGGTTAAGGGAATCCTTTCGATACTAATGATGATAAAAAGCATTCATTATTCACGTATAATGCGTGGTTCACACCGGATCCGTAATGACGCCGTAACCGTTACGGACGTAATGAGCTAGAGATTTCTCAAGATTCCCCAAGTATTGTGACTTTTGTAGACGAAGTTGAAATGTGGCAACCAGTCGCCGTAAACTGGCAGCGTCCACCGTACTCGTTACGGAACGTAACAGAAGTTGGGAAAATTGAACTTCTCGGCCCGACCGGCCGCCGTAATGACTTTTATCGACATGTATCTCCAAAACGGTTTGACTGTTTGATGAGCGGTCTTCTTTGGGGAGGGGCTGTATCCTTTCTATCCTGAACTGTGCTATTGATATCACTCATGAGTGCCTGTTACAGCACGTGTCACGTGCGACGAGAGAGGTTCCAAAAGAGCTCGTCATACCATAACTCGGGAACGGCTAAATGGAAGCGGTTCAATATTTGTTTGTTGTTCTGGCTGGGTGCACACTACACATCCCGTGACCTTAGGACGATTTCGAATTGCCTCAGCGCGTGCGCACGTGCACACCCCTTTTTCACATCTCGAGATTGGCTGTGCCACAGACTTCTCTATATATGGACTGTGCGCTGATCCGAGGAAATCAGCATTGGAGGCCCAAAAATAAGTGCACTTTTATCCATCTTTTTACAATGAAAAGGGTGTCAGAATATTTACAAATTTGGATATAGGACAGCCCATACTTTTATCTACCTGTCGGATTACATTTTTTTTTTGTTGAATTCAAAATAAATAAGAAATAAATGTATATAAATGAGAACATGTTTTCTCGTTCAGTTAGCCATTTGTTCACGCTGGAGGTATATACTTCACAAATGCAGCCGTTCTTTCAATGCAGCGCGCATTTTCTTGCTTTTGAATGTTGGTTGCATTGTTGGTTGTCGTTGCTAATTTGTCGGAACTAGTCATTTACGTTGGTTTTGAAAAGGGTTTTGAGAAATAACGATACATTATATAGGGCCACAAGAAGCAGTAAAAATAAGTAAGAAATAGCTCGAAAAAAAATGGTCAAAAAAGGAAAGAATATTATCGATCACTACCTCATCACGACCGGATCAGAAAACGTGTGGTGCGAAGATGTCATTCCGGGTTTCAAGCCAGAGTCAGGGCAAGAAAAATGTGAAACGAAACATAATTTCTAGCAAAAAGGCAACTTTTTAGCCTCCCGTATAACTAAAAGGAAAAAATGTTCACAGACGAAACCATCAATCGAGATAAGAGATAACGCTGAGGACAATCAGATTTGCAAGTTTACTTTTGCAAACACTGACTCCTGTGAGACTCACACAGCAAGAAGAAAAACAGGACGCTATCGACGGCGCCAGTCTCAGCATACTTCCTATAATGCCTAGTGCCTTATTTTATTCTGGAGAAAAATAAAGACTCACTGAAAGGAGCTACAAAGACTTAACTTGACAGCAGTTAATGTGAAAAGAACAACTCGCCATCGCAGTTCGAAGCTACGCCGCGCTAAATAATGCCATACCCATGGCAGTGATACGCCACGACATCCAAAAGAAGTAAGCTTATTCAATCAAACAATGAAGTTTATCCAGTGTGTCGTATGGGGTTGTAGTTCATTATGGTCTGGATCAAATCATCTCGGAAGAATGCTCGATGAAATGATGGAATTCGTACCCTTCGCATCAATGTTAAACGATGAAGGTTGCCGCTCTTAAATGTTACCGCAAAACTTGCATCGGGATCGGGAAGCTCAAGAATACGCCAGTCTGCGAAGAACGGACGGAAAAATAGCGGTGGAGCAGAAACAAGATGCATAGGACTGATTGGAGTATAAGTAGCTGGGACAAACATCTGTGCCGGTGGTGGCCTGTTATTACAGGAACTTCTACTTTGGATATCTCAGGAAACTGGCAGGTCACCATTTCTAGGCCAGCTGTGGACATTATTAATGGAAAAGCCAAGAAATGTGCCAAGGGCGAAGAGCATACTGTAACTAACGAGCTACAGAATATGACGGAGGCGCCGTGGGCACTAATCGTTTGGCCGAACGGGGAAGAGCACTCGATCCGCGCCCCGGCAGGTTACCTGTGCTCCAGCTTCCGAGCTGAGATGGTCGCCCTCCGAGCTGCTCTCTCCTAGCTGCTGGAGAACCCGCCGCACGCAGAAGACACCATCGTAGCCTGCACCGACTCGCAGTCCGCCCTCGTCGCCATCCGAGGTGGCTGGGCCGCTCAGCACTCCTCGCTCGGAGTGGACATCTGGAGAGCCCTCTGGGGACTGACAGCTGGAGGCCTGTTGGTCTACCTACAGTGGATGCCCTCACAATGCAAGTTGGAAGGCAACGAGAGGGCCGACACCATCGCCAAGAAGGCAAACATACTCGACTAAAAACAAATCCTTATAGACGTCCAGAAGGCCCACTGGGCCGCCGCCAGAGTGGCGAGGGCTCGCACCGTCGGGGCCTCAAGTTCCACCAGCTGACGGGGATCGACTCCCGCCTACCGTTGCCGGCGGCGACCGGCCAGCGGCGGTGGACATCCACCAGCTCCGCGCCGGCCACTGGACAAGCTCCTCCCAATGGCGCCACAGAGTCGGGTTGGCGCCCTCCTGGCTGTCGGGGTGCAACCAGTGCGACGACCGACAATGCAGAGCCGCACTCTACCCGTCTGCTGAGAGGAGGCGGACAGCCCAAGCATGTCCTCCTGCGGTGCCCGGCTCTGATGGGCACCCGACATCGCCTGATGGCGACCATCAACCCCAACATGGAGGAGGTGCGGAGCGGCAGCATCGTGGTGGCCCTGGGGGCCGCCCACAGGTCCTTCAGAGCTGCTTGGCTACGTCTCCATGGGACGAAGGGACACAATAAAAGCAACAATAGCTACAGCATGACAACGTGATGGGAACGACCGTCACAAGAGCTATCGCCTTATCATTCAGCAGCGAGTGGAAAACGAGCAGACGGAGGGATACGTTGCAATTGGTGATGCGCATGTGCGAATGTGTGAAAGTGTGACTATGTGTAGATGCGTGGTGCGAAAAAGTGGGTAGCAGAGAAGAACAGTGAAGACACCGTTGCAGCAGACACACATTTTCCCGTAAAGTCCCCCATCGGCATTACCGCCAACCTTTACCACCAGCGCGGTCGGTGCACTGTCGCGCGAGTTTGTAGCCAGCCATGTCAGAGATGTGAACAATCCAGCACACGGGGGAAGAAGAAAGGGATGATAGCCACCCTTTCTCGCCGGATCCCGCGGTGAAAATGGACTAACGCCATTTTCAAGCCCACTGGTGCAATGTGAGATGAACTTGACATGAGGACATCAATGGGTGTCGATGAACGTGAAATGATGTTCCAATACAGATTCATATCGACCAGAAGCCTTTCTTATTCTGAGCTACGAGCAATAGGTAGTACAAAAAGAAAATGTATTACATAAAATTCAGCCTGTCGACAGGAAACAATAAAAGGGTATTGTGTTACAACATATGGGTTCATATTACGGCTTCAGAAATTTGGGCCTCCAATGCTGATTTCCCAAATCAGCGCACAGTCCATATATAGAGAAGTCTGTGGCTGTGCCAATCGCGCCCATATTTGGTATGCTGAATGACATCATGTTTATATGCAAATTGCACAGGTTGACAAAAGCATTGATCTGCACGTGCGCACGTGCGTGCCCCTTTTTCATATCTGGGGATCGGCTGGGCCGATCGCGTTCATATTTGGTGTGCTGAATGACACCATGTACATATGAAGATTGAACAGATTGGCAAAGGCATTGGTCTGCACGTGCGCGCGTGCGTACCCCTTTTTGGCATCTTGGGATCGGCTGGGCCGATAGCGCTCATATTAAGTATGCTAAATGACACCAAGTTTATTTGCAGCTTGCACAGGTCAGCAAAAGCATTGATCTGCACGTGCGCACGTGCGCACCCCTTTTTCATATCTGGGGATCGGCTGGGCCGAAAGTGCTTATATCAAGTATGTTGAATGATAACATGCTTATATGTAGAATTCACAAATCGGCGAAGGTATTGATCGGCACGTGCGCACGTGCGCACCCCTTTTTCATATCTCGGGATCGGCTGGGCCGATAGCGCTCACATTTGGACTTTGGTATGCTGAATGACACCACGCATATAAAGTATGCAGATTGCAAAGGTCAGCGAGAGTATTGGTCGGCACATGCGCACGTGCCCACCCCTTCTCACATGTTGCGATTGATTGGGCTGGTCTGGGTAGCGGGTAGCGGTCTGCTCGTGTGCAAGTGCGGACCTTTCTACTTAAAAAAAATCGTATCAATTCGCCGACTGATTTTTAGGCATTATTTCATGTAGGTATGCCTTCAGTATGTCACAACCTACTTTGTATCTCTTGAGTGACGTGCATAAAATTCATGTTCCGTAATTACATTTCACTCGTTTATTTAAAGATAACATTTCCTTCGTAGGCCTAGCCTAGCCCTAATCATGTAGGTATGTTACAGGTCAAGTTCAAAGTCCACAAAATAAATTCCAATACATAGATTCTCGTGCCACGTCTTTTATGCAGTTCTGAGTCAACTTCGCTGCCCATATTGCCCCTGCTAGACTTGATGCTTGGACGGACACTGACACAAGGCCTCTTCGCAAGCCAATTGAGCAAACTGTACGATGCGTACGTTGATCGTGCCCATGGATAGCAGCGAAAGCGATTCACGAGTGTAGAAAATGAACTTCAGCGTTGACCAGCATAGGCATGTTTTCTTGTTTATGCCAAAACAGGATAAAAGATTCTCTGTGGAGTATCATGCCCACAATTGTAGTTAATTAACAATGATATTTCTCCATACAATTATAAACCGCTATGCAAAAGTGATAGGAATAAATTTAAAAAGAAGAGAGCAAAACCAATTGAAATTCTGACGCACCGATATTAAGAAACAGCTCTTAGCTTTAGCCCATTTTTCGATTGTTTATAAGCAAAATAGTTTTGGCGCACTTGATTCGAAGGACGGCGCTCAACATGGCAATTCCCGGTGCACACCGAATCCGTAACGAATACGGCGTTACGTCGCCAAAAAATCGAACTACGCATGCGCGTTGCATTGTGCCCTCCACTTTCAAGATATTATTTAATCGCCGACGTATTCATTACGGCACGTAACGGTCGTTACGGATCCGGTGTGAACCACGCATAAGTCTCCAAACAACTCTTCACAATGGCTATCTACATAGCGTCCACAATAGTCACCTTCCGACAGTGCTCCCGAAGTTTCCCAGGAAAAAAGTGATGAAAGAAAGGGGAAAATTGAAAAATTGTTTCTATATAGTTGCCAAAAGTTTGCCGAGAGGGAAGCAGGAAGTTGAAAAGAAATAAAGAGACCAAAGTGTGTCAGCCACATTTCACGAAACGACAGATGTAGATGGAGTAGATTCTGAAAAGAGTGTCCAGAAAGTTGAGTTCAAACTTCTGGAACCTCACGACAGAAGAGTGTCGCCAAAAGCAGTGACGATGATAAGCCTCCCAAGCGAATAAATACAGCTGCTGATGGTAGAAGGCACATTTCACTGACCTATCTGCCGCATCCGTGTATGTAAGTACGCAGCAAGTAGTCGGTGCAGTTTCGTTGTCAAAAGGCTAGGGGATGGATGTTGTAGGATTTGTGTCGGTGGATGTGGTTTACAGTATGTCAATGGGTGAGCTAAAAAAGCTAAACATAGCACATGGATCAGTTTATGTTCCTGTGTAAATAATGTAAATTACTCATAAGACATCATGTAACAAGTGGCGATGAACTAACGTAGTGTTGGCGGTATCTGGTCAAGTTCGGCGGAAGGTCGTGAGGGAGGCCGTGAGGGAGGCTGGGGCTCAGTGAGTTAGAGCTCACAGCACCCGGCCGTCTCAGGCGCATCGCAGGAGTTGGTGCCCGTGTTGAAGTGTTTGTCGGACGGGCAGTAGCGGATGGTGGCCTGGCCGCCGGTGCACACGAAATAGGTGCCGCAGTTGAGTGGGTTCCCGTATTGGCCGTCACTCTTGGTGCAAGGGAACGTGCAGGTCGGAGCCTCAGTGGGTGTGGGCTTTTGCGTGGTGGTGACGGGTGCCGGGACGGTAGTGGTGGTGGAGGGAGGCGCCGGGGTGACCGGGTCGCAGTCCACATTCTCGGGAAGGTCGCAGACTTCGGTGTCTTTGTTAAAGTGCAGGCCCGGCGAGCAGCACTCTTTGTAGGCATCGCCCCTCTGGCATTGATAGAAGCAGGCGCAGTCCTTGGGATCCGGCACCCTACGCAAACACGGCTGGTAAGCGACTCTAGAACATGCTAACCCCATTCGTACGGTAACAACAGCTTCTAACTTGCTTGCAGTGGATATAGATACATTAAAATTTCCTCCCAATGGATTGCAATAAGAAACTTTTTCAGTATGGCGCGTATTTCTGCATCATCCTTAGCATTATAACATTAGGTACATAGTTAGAAGCGATATTCTGACATGGAATACATGTGCCGCACTTATTTGTAAATAATCACGGGAACATATTTGGCCAACGAGACTCCTAAATGCAGCTCTTTTCAATGATGTCTTGAACTCTAAGGAATGGCAAATAAACTTAACTGAGTTTGACCTTTCATTTGTTAGGTTATAGAGCTACGGGGTTAATTGCAATGTGAGTGACTTCTAAAGGTCAACGTCAATTCCTCTCAAATAAGTAATGGTTGCCTTATTAAGCACTTACGTAATAAATGATCCACACGAGGTGACGTCTTACCTGCAGACACAAGTCTCGTTCGGGCAAATGATGTCAGGGTTTGGCGTGGGCTTCGGCGTGGGACCTGAAGTCGGCTTCGGAGGAACCGTCGTCTTTCCACCACAGCCAGCATTATCGGGCCAGTCGCAGACCAGCAGGTTAGGGTTGAACTCGAGGTTGGCGGGACAATCCTTCAGGTAGGCGTGTCCGTTGGAGCAGTGGTAGAAGGTGTGGCAGTCGGCAGGATTGGGGAAGAGGCCATCGCTGGGACAATCAAAGTCCGGACCTGGCTTGGGCGTTGTGGGCTTTGCCGTCGTGGGCTTCAAGGTCGTCTTTCCACCACAGCCGGCATGTTCTGGCCAGTCGCAAACCAGCAGCGTAGGGTTAAACTCAAGGTTGGCGGGACAGCTCATCAGGTACGCATGTCCGTTGGAGCACTGGTAGAAGGAGCGGCAGTCGGTAGGATTGGGGAAGAGGCCATTGCTAGTCGGACAATCGAAACCGGAGGGAGTGGTAGATTTAGGCTTGGGCGAAGAAGTAGGCTGGACGGAACATCCAGCGTCCTTGGGCCAGTCACAGACCAGAAGTTTCGGATTGAACTCCAGATTAGCTGGGCAGTCCTTCAGGTAAGAGTAGCCGTTGGAACAGTGGTAGAAGGTATGACAGTCCAGGGGATTGGGGAACAGTCCGTTGCTGGTTGGGCAGTCGAAATCTGAAGGAGTAGGATTGGTAGGAGCAGGCTGTGGCGAAGTAGTCGGCTTTCCGTTACACCCGGAATTCTCGGGCCAGTCACAGACCAGCAGGGTAGGGTTGAACTCGAGGTTGGCGGGACAGTCCTTCAGGTAGGCGTGTCCGTTGGAGCAGTGATAGAAGGTATGGCAGTCGGTAGGATTGGGGAAGAGTCCATTGCTAGTCGGACAATCGAAACCGGAGGGAGTGGTAGATTTAGGCTTGGGCGAAGAAGTAGGCTGGACGGAACATCCAGCGTCCTTGGGCCAGTCACAGACCAGAAGTTTCGGATTGAACTCCAGATTAGCTGGGCAGTCCTTCAGGTAAGAGTAGCCGTTGGAACAGTGGTAGAAGGTATGACAGTCCAGGGGATTGGGGAACAGTCCGTTGCTGGTTGGGCAGTCGAAATCTGAAGGAGTAGGATTGGTAGGAGCAGGCGGCTGTGGCGAAGCAGTCGGCTTTCCGTTGCAGCCGGCATTCTCGGGCCAGTCGCAGACCAGCAGGGTAGGGTTGAACTCGAGGTTGGCGGGACAATCCTTCAGGTAGGCGTGTCCGTTGGAGCAGTGGTAGAAGGTGTGGCAGTCGGCAGGATTGGGGAAGAGTCCGTTGCTGGTCGGACAGTCGAAGTCGGGCTTGGGTGCGACGGTGGTAGTGGTGGTGGTGGTAGTGGTGGTGGTAGTGGTGGTGGTCGGCTTCGGGGTTGTCGGAGCCTTCGTAGTGACCGGCTTGGGCGTAGTGGATTTCACTTCTGAAAAGGGGAAGACAAGCATGATGACACAAGTGTGTCATGACATCGGAACAAAGCGGAAACAAAACCAAAAACGTTATCAGCTAGATGGATGCACCACTCTACTGGTTCCGGGAGTTCCTCAAGACGCCAAGGCTTTGGACGCCAAGGCGACATCTAAAAGTAGGAGTTCATTATTTAAGCATTTTGTGATTTCCGAAGCCAGATAAGGTTTCATAACTTTTCATCCAAATTGAACTTACCACACTTGTAGTTGGAAGCCAGATCGCAGTTATCAATGTTGGGGTTGAACACCAGACCTTGGGCACAGGAAGCCTTCCAGGCTTTGCCATCCTGGGGAAGAGAAGTGACTCTCTTACCATGGAATGCATGTCCATATGCATGTACGAGTATGTAGTTTCCAAACTCTTGTGTAGTACCTATGCCCTGGGGTGAAGTGCAAAAGTCTCAAGTGTTTCCAGATTTTGCATTGTTGAAATATTTGGACTATTGGAAAAGAGACTCAGGAAGTCCGCTGTTTTCCGTTCTACTGACCCATGCAACCCGATTGATGAATTTCCCCTCAAAGTGTTCACCCATGAACGAAAGCGCCGGATGCGCTCCCGCTGTGCGAGTGACTGCCTGCTGGACCACCGCACCAGCACGCACCATGGTTACCGGACCCGGGACAAGCGCATCAGCACACACCTTGCAGATGTAGTAGGTGGTGCAGTCGTCGGCGTTGGGCTCCAGACAGCACTCGCAGTCGCACTCCATGCCCGGCTCGGGGTCGGTGTCAGGCGGCGGCGGGTCGGTGGGCGCGCCCCCCGTGCAGCCGGCGTTCTCGGGCCAGTCGCACACCTGGAGACGCGGGCCGCACCAAACGGCCGGGGTCAGCGGGGACTTGGGCAGCTGCGGTACTGATGACCAGTGTGGAAGATTGACTGACTCTTACTGACCATGAGAGATGTTCCACCTGGAGCTATTTGATGTGACATGTAATAAAATCCATGCCGTGCGTTGGAAAGATAAATCTCTTAGTCCCTTCAAAGGATAAAAGGCTCCTTGACAGAAGCATAAATCGAATATCCGAAACAGCCAGCAAGATGCCGATTTTTCGATAGACCATAATCCGAATCTGTGACAAATTATTAAGTGACTCACCATCAGCTTGGCGTTGAAGTGGAGGTTGGCGGGGCACTCTTTGACGTAGGGGTGGTCATGGTCGCAGTGCAGGAACAGGTGGCAGTCGGTGGGGTGTGAGAACAGCCCCTGGGACCGCGGGCAGCTGAGACCGGCCTCCGGACGCTCCGGCGCCGCCAGCAGGCCTGCAACAATACGATACGCACACGCAGTCAACGGACTGGATCAAGACTAATAGCCAATGACATCGGTCAAGCAGCTATCATATATAGATGTAATTCAGATGTTATCCAGATCTGTCCAGGAATAAGAAAACAACATCACATACCGAATTTTCACGATGACATTGTGTCCAAATCATAACGAGACGGTAGCGATTGCAATATTGCAGCTTCACCCTAGGCTAGCCTACAGTAGGAAGAATTTAAACGAGGCTGCATTTCGCAAACGATTCAATGGGTGTTCAGTCTAAAGTGCGGCGCCCATCGAGTGCTCATGTACGTGGCGACAGGCCGGACGTCGCAGAGTAGCGGTATCGGCATCTTAATCCGAGCTGACACCTACCCACGCAATCGGACTGACTCTTGACCCCGACGCCCCGACGCGACGGGCCGACGCCCAGCGCGCAGCGGCCGAGCGTGTGAGCCCGGAGACGGGCCGCTATCAGCAGATCGCACACTATCCAGAACACGAAACGGTAGCGACCGCAGGACAATCGATAGCAGGCTGGCCTTGGTACGCATTTGTCAACGTTCGTTGGGAGGGTCTGGCGCGGAAGCCAAATGTCGTCTCCGTAACACTTGACAATGCCCAATCGGTACTTAACAGGGCCAATGAATGACACAATGCCGTTCAATTTTGGACTGGTATGCATAATGCATAAGCTTATAAGCATCTATCATGCAAGTCCGCCTTGCATCACGAACCAGACAGCCCAAGTTATGGCAATTCTTATCGAGTGTGATCCGGGCAATCCCATGGAAATATCCGAGATATTATCCGCCTCTACTGCAAAATATGACAAGTTTGTTTAGCGAAACATCCTCTTTATTTCAATTTTTAGTTTGCTATTTTCATTGGTCTTAATTATTTTGTGAAACTCTGCTTCTAAACGCTCTACCTGAAATGCCATTCGTGATAATTTGACTTCATCCAAACAAAAGTTTTCCATTCCACGCGCCTGGGAATGTTGAGCATGATGATGCCCAAGTTGTTTTTTTTGCGACCATTTGTTTACGAGCCTATTTTCACAAAAAACAAACCCCTACTTTGGGGTACTTGACCTGACCTCAGCGATCATCGGTTGACCTGAGACCTTACACTCGGGTACCAGTCACCTCGTCTCGTACTACGGCGTAGACGCTCGTTTTTCGGAGAGAAGCGCGGGCGATTAGGGGGCGAACTCACCAATCCCTAGGCAGGGTCGCATGTGGAAAACCGATAGGTTCGGCGAGAGGTAAAGCTGATTCGATAACGGTAATGGGAATGATCACGAAAACCGGACTGGGTTCTTGAAGAATCAATGACATGTAGGATGTCTTCTAACCATGCAGTTTTCACTCAAGGCCTTGCTAGTTGCCGACCAATTTGTCAACTAACTAGTTAGATCTTGCATTGCAAACTGTGCTATGCGTCGCAGCTTATCAGTGGACAGTGGAGCCGTGTGATAATTTATAAAAGTAAATTAGCATTTGACGGCTGGGGCTGAAAGGAGACTTATTTCAACTCCTTTGAAAGTTTTATTTGTGTGTGCAGAAAAGAAGATATGCTGCACAATGTGCATTAAGCATAGGTATCTCAAATGGGAGACTCGACTCATCAGCTTCTGAAAAACCATCGGGATCCGCCTGGACGCCACGAATAAAATGCCACCTTCAGGTGGCAGCATTTGGACTTACCGGTGGCCAGGCAGGCGAGAGTGACGAGGCGGGTCCACATGGCGAGGGCCTTCAATCGGCACAGTGTCGCCTACCTGCCGCTCCCACCGATTTATAGGGCGGCCATCAGCGGCAGATTACGAGTGCGAGTCAGTGCCGGCCGATAGCGAATCAGTGCAATAAGGCGACGACATGATTTGGAGAACGATCCGGTGAAATCTAGACGAAGCATGGTATTATGTTTATGGTAGCTGTAATTGTTTCTGATTGTGAAAGGCGCAAAAGATAGGAGCTCTCATTTAAGACATTTTCATTTCCATTTATGACATCTTATCGTCTTTGGCTTCAGCAACAGCAGGGCTTTAACCCGGCCGGGCCCGGGGGTAATCCCAACCACCGCAGCCCGGGGCCTGTCTAACTCCGTAAACAAGGGAGCTACGGAAACAAAAGCGATACCAAACGAAAGGTCCTTACGAGACAATTCTAAAGCACCTAAAATTTTTGACCTCAGGTCAATTTTCAAGGTCAGAGATCAAGGTCAAAGGCAAAAACCGGCACATGTGTACTGTGTAGTGATCTCAAAGTAAGCTTTCTATAGGACGGCAGGCTGCATCAAACCGGCAAAATTGGGTGTCAAACGAAAGAAGAGAATCTGAGGATTCCGAAAATGTGCTCAAAATCAAAGATCAAGGTCAAGGTCACGCTCAAAATTGACCTCAAACTTGGCACTTTTTCGCACATCTTACGTGCTAACTTCCAAGATGTTTTGAAATGTTTTGAGGCTTATCAGTTCCCTATTTGTGGTTCGTCTTACGATACAAGGCTGCGCAGAGGTCAAGGTCACAGAAGAGTATCCCTGCTAGAGGCTATTTCACTGATTCAAGTTAGTAATAATCAGGGCTGCGGAGTCGATGGATTTTAGGATGACATGACTCCGACTCCGACTCCGACTCCGGCTCCGGCTTCAAAAATTGACTCCGACTCCAACTCCAACTCCGACTCCGACTCCGGACGGTTGTATTAAAATCCATATCGTGATATTGAAGTTCATAACGGAGACGTTTTTATCTTGCCTGCAACGATCCCTTGCGCGTTCCAAGGCTTTGCGTTGCAAATAGGCTTTACAAATAACATGCAGAATTAAAAAGCAGGCTCTGGGGAATTCACAGTCTTCTGCTTCTTTCGCTGAAAACGTTTGTCCAAAACAGCAACATGGCCTTTTTTCGACAAAATCTCATTTCGAGCGCAGTATCGTCAATCAGAAAGGTGCAGTGCATTACGTTGAGACATGCAGCGTTAACTCCAACTACGGAGTCGGAGTCGGTAAGATTTTGGCGACTCCGACTCCGACTCCGACTCCGAGCAGAACTGTCGACTCCGACCGGCTCCAACTCCGACTCCGACTCCGACTCCGCAGCCCTGATTATAGGTATGTGCATTCCCATATTTTTAGATGAACATTCTCAGAAAAGGCACGAGCCTGAAAAATGATAAAATTCAAGCGATCCTCATTTTCATTATTCCTTGATTATTCCGGTTATATGGCCTTGGATTCTTTCCATTCCTTCTCAACGTTCCCAACAACGCTGCGCGCTTGAAGTTGACAATAATGACGGCATATGGTGCTGAATGATTTTCTAGCAATTTAAAAAAGCTTGTTTCGCATCGCAGTAATTCTTACCCCTTCATGGTGTCAATTTGGACGATGATTCGAAGGCGCAGCAGTGGACGGGCCATCCTGATATTTCTTCTTTTGGTATCGGTTGACAGAGCTGTACAAAGCCAGAGTCGAGTCAGAAAGAATGTAGGTGAAGAGAGCAGCCTCACAACAGACCAGCCTGAATCAGCTATTACTACGAAAGCGGAAGAAAAGCGAGTTACATGGGACCCGAATAACCCGGCCGACGGCACTGACCGACACTCTCGGGACCACCTGCACGACTTCGACCACTATGAGAAGGCACACGGACACGCAAAAGACCACGAGGGCCAGAGCATCATATACGATCATCCGCACCACGACGACGAGGAGGGCCACGACGACCTACACCATATGCCCTGGGTGATTACAAAGCCCGGCTACGACATCCGCCACCGGCCCGACAACGACGAGCCGACTAAAATCAACATCAGCCTGTTTCACGACTTCATAGAGTATGTTGACGAGCTCGGCGGTGAGATGGTGATAAAGTTATTCGTCGTGGCCTACTGGAAGGATCACCGAATGCGAAATGTGGATGAAGTTCTAAACGAGGTGGGTGGGACGAAGGAGTCTCGCTCTCTGCCGCTGCCGAGTGAGATGAAGTACCGGCTGTGGGTGCCGGACCTGTACCTGCCGATGGCCAGGCGGGTGCGTGTGCCGACAATCCACCAGCCGGCAGAGAGCGTCACACTCAAGGAGAACGGCACCATGAAGTACTCGTCCTTCTTCGTCATATCCTTCAAGTGCGAGATGCACTACCACAACTACCCGATGGACGTACAGCAGTGCGACCTGGACATTTTCAGCTACAAGTACGCCAGCAGCCATCTGCAGCTGCTCTGGCAGCGCCCCTACGGATTGGTGGGCGCGCTGCGCATCAACACCAAACATTTTGACGTCCGCGTCATGCGACCGAAAGGCAAGAGCTGGTTTCTGCTGCATGGGCCGGGCGGGAGCACCAAGGACGTGCTACGGATCACGTACGTGATGCGGCGGCACCTGTCGTTCCACCTGCTGCAGACCTACCTGCCGTCCATCATGCTGGTCTTCATCGGCTGGCTGTCGCTGCTGGTGCCACTCGACTTTGCCTACGGCCGCATGGTGCTGTCGGTCACCACGCTGCTGGTGCTGGTGTCGTTCTTCGTCACCACCAGCCAGACCACGCCGGGCACCAACGAGGTATGTACGTGCCTCACATGGCTACTCCTTTTGATTACCCGGAATATTTGTATCGGAAAGCAGAGATCAGGACCTAGGCAATGAGCTCTGCTAACCGTGTGCTCCGCAGACTGATCTGATACTGATACTTTATTCACAGCAAATCCATGGAACATGGCTTTTCATTGCAATACGTCAAATATGTAAATACACAAGGTTCAAGACACAGTGCTCAACTGAAACTAACTAGACATCGCAGACTGCTCCATAAAAATGTGCTTTTTGAGCTGGTGTCGAAAGTTGCGAGCGGTGACATCGAACGGTAAGCGGTCATACTCGCGCACAGTGTCGTAGCAGAGCCGCTGTCGACCAGCTTCAGTGCGAATTCTCGGCAACATGTGGTTGCCCGCAGCACGTGTCTGGTACGAGTGGTGCACGGTGCGACCGATAGTTTCTGCGAGAACTTCGGGCTTGCCCGTCGTAGCGAGCGTGTGCACCACACAGATCCGGTGGTACTTAACAAGGCTAGGTGCATTCAGCCACTGCAGGTCGCGGAGTACATCGCTAATATGGTGGTATTTACGACGACCGCTAATGACACGAGCACCAAAGTTTAAAAGTCTCTGCACGCGATGAAGCTGAGTGACTCCACACGTGCCGTACACTGATATGCAGTACCTGATGAGTGAGTTCACAAGCGCTTCTACTATCACTGACAGAGATACCTTTGGTATAACATGTTTGGCATGCATCAGACCGATAAGGACGCCGGTACATTTAGCAGTGATATGATCGACATGATCATTGAACTTCAAATGGTTGTCCATAATCACTCCTAAGTTTTTGACGACTCTAGAATCTGGAATCACAGTACCCATCGCATTTAGTGTGACAGACGGCAGTCCTCGGAGCATAGCAGGAGTTCCAAGCACGACAACTTGCGTCTTAGCTGCATTAAGCTTCATTGAGTTGGTACAGAACCATTGGTACAAACACTCAAGAGCCTTTTCCATTCGTTCTATCACCTGTGGCAAGTCGCGCTTTTTGCCGCTTACAAGGAGCTGGGTGTCGTCAGCGAACTGGACCATCGTGACATTGGCAGGTAGATACAGATACATTTCATTTGCCAACACCGTATACAATGTGCAGCTAAGTGATCCGCCCTGGTACACGCCGATCGTGTTCGGCTTCACACCGGATCGTACGTATCCACCGTCGCCGCTGGGCATCTGCACTTGCTGCGTGTGGCCGCTGAGGTAGTCCGCAAACCACTCCGTTTCCACCCCGTACAGCGCGAGTTTGTCCAACAGCCTGCGGTGCGGCACCACATCAAAGCATTTTGACAGGTCTAATAGTACCAGTATCGATACCTCTCCAGCATCCATCGCTTCCAGCACACGGTCTGATATAACACCGAGTGCCGTTTCGGTGCTGTGTCCGCGACGGTAGCCGTGCTGGGTGGCAGACAACAGCCGGTTCACCTCCATGTACTGAACCAGCTGGCGCTGTACGACTCGTTCGACAACTTTTGCCACTGCCGGTAGGATGGAAATCGGCCGGGTGTTTGCTGGCTCAGATGGTCCCTGTCCTTTGGGAATCGGTGTTACCATTGCGTGTTTCCACGGGCTGGGCACGCTGTTGGTGGTGAGGCTGGAGTTCAGGATATCCAGGAGGACGTGACCCATGCCCCAGTAGAACTTTTGGAACATGCTGACACTAACCCCGTGTGTTTTCACCGACGCATTCGAATTAAATTCGAAAATTATGTACATTTAAACAATCATGAAAGAGGGCGACGGACACATATCATAATGTCGAGCCACTTTCATATAAAGAGCAACTCACGGGCTCTTTATATGAAGGTGGCTCGACAGTTATGTATTTTACCGTGTGCCTCAGGTGAAGGCGCTGGACATCTGGCTGTTCATCTGCATCTTCTTCGTGTTCTCTGCCATCGTGGACTGCATTGCCGATCTGCGCTTCCTCTCGATGGTGGAGAAGGAGTCGCAGATCGCCGGCGAGGAGGGCGTCCAGTCGGAGATGCCGCCGGTGGTGGACGAGCGCGTGCGCCGGCTCAGCCGGCCCGACGACGGCGGCCAGACGGCGGGGGAGGACTCGGACCGCGCCGACGCCACGCACAATGTCCAGTTCTTCGGCGACAACACGCCGTTTCAAGTAAGACGAGATGATCGACGGCGACAACACGCCATTCCATTGGCACAGACCGGCGCAGCCCACACATATCGGTCAACT